GAGACTGACAGAGAGAGAGAGAGACTGAGAGACTCTGGCAGATGAGAAGAGACTGATAGAGAGAGAGAGAGAACTGAGACTCATGGCAGATAGAGAGAGAAGACTGATAGAGAGACTGAGAGACTCACAGCAGATAGGGGAGAGAGAGACTGAGAGAAGAGAACTGAGGGCATCTGGCAGATAGAAGAGTGACTGACTGACTGACAGAGAGAGAAGACTGACTAGAGAGACTGGCTAGAGACTGACTGAGAGAGGCGGCTGAGAGGAGCTGAGAGAGAGAGAAGTGACTGAGAGACGGCTGAGAGAGAGAGCTGACTGAGAGAGAGAGAGACTGACTGAGAGAGAGAGAGGAGCTGGCTAGAGAGAGAGAGAGAGAGAGAGAGAGAGAGAGAGACTGACTGAGAGAGAGAGACTGACTGACTGAGAGAGAGAGAGACTGACTGACTGACTGAGAGAGGGACTGACTGACTGAGAGAGGGACTGACTGACTGAGAGAGGGACTGACTGACTGAGAGAGGGACTGACTGACTGAGAGAGGGACTGACTGACTGAGAGAGGGAGAGAGACTGACTGTGAGAGACTGACTGACTGAGAGAGACTGACTGACTGACTGACTGAGAGAGACTGACTGACTGACAGAGAGAGACTGACTGACTGAGAGAGAGAGACTGAGACAAAGAGACTGAGACAGACTGACTGAGAGAGACTGAGACTGACTGAGAGAGAAAGAGAGAGACTGTGGCGGAACCAACCTCGCCACTATGCACTGGAGAAGCCTGGTTGCTCGCCTGCTCCCTTTAGACTATGGCCCTGCAGTTCAGACCTGCTATTTTCCCTGCTGAAAGGTTTATTCGTGCCTTTTTGCCAGGGTGTTCGGTAGATTCCATCTACCGAACAAACTACGGAACGATGGACCACCTGGGAACTGGAGTGTGCCGTCAATTGACCGCCCAGAAGCTGCGGTTAACCACAGCTTAATTGATGAACGCTGGGTGGCCTTTGTTAGGTTGCTGAACACGTGGCAGCGGCCATTTTACCTCCCGAACGGCCAGCGGTGTTCAGTGCCCAAACTATGGAACTGAAAACGGACACTTATTGGCGCGGACACCGCTGAGCCGCCAGCCTCCTTACCTCTCCATTCAGTAGCAGAACCGAATGACTGTTCATTCGGTAGTTTAACCGGATGAACAGCATCACCCCAGATAGCTAAGCCATGGAGCCTGTTCGTGTAACGAAAGACTATGTGAAAGACTTTGGCTCCATGGCGATTGAACTGTATGTATGTGATCTGAGCGTCATTCGGTATTAATGTGCGCTCAGATCTAAGCTATCTGGGGATATGTAGAATGTGTATGTTTTATGTAATAAATGTGACTGTGTGTAATTTTATGTCTTTTACTGAAAATGTGTGTAATGGAGTTTTGCCTCTGTCCTTGGAGATAATTGGATTACTTCCCAATTATCTCCAGGACAGAGAGGAGGGATTGTAATGCATTGTGGGATTGTTGAAATGTGTAAGTCTGTGATTGGTTCTTGTACCCTTTGTGTCCCAGTCTCCCATCTGGTCCCCTAGGGGAGTGTCCACCAGGTGGGAGACCTGCATGAAAGCCGGGCAGTTAGCCTCAGTAAACCAGATTCAGCTTGACCCTCAAAACGAAGTATCGTCTCGTCTTTGGGGGGATTTACTGTATGCTGTTAGAGACTGATTGCCAGGAGTGTAAGCCGCTTGGGGGCTTTTCCTGTTCGTCTGCTAACAGCTATTCGTGTGTCTCCAGTTCGGGAGTTTGGAGTGCTACTTGGTATGCAGTTCGGGAGTTTCAAGTATTCCCTTGGTTGCAGTTCGAGAGTTGGTGAATTCGTGGGTTTGCAGTTCGGGAGATTGGTGCTTGCAGTAGCTATCTGTGCAGCTGAGAAAGGGGAATATCGCCTAAACGTTTTTTAACCGCTTATGTGCAAAACGGTCCGTTACAGAGACTGAGAGAGATTGAGAGACGGACTGAGAGAGAGAGAGACGCTGAGAGACACACACACAGAGAGAGAGACACTGAGAGAGTTATTGATTGATTAGGGATAGTAGGGAGAATGCAGTGAGATATATTGATCAATTATAGATAGAATGCGGTGAATTGTATTGAACCGCGGATGCATTCACCGATTAGAGATAGAAGTGCGATTGCAATTTACGGAGCCCTTACAACATTTACTTATTTACAAGTTCCCTTATAATTCTGTTTTCTTTCTAAAATGGATGCTGCAGAAGGAGCTCTGTGAGAGCCTTTATAACCCATTGGGTCCAGGGCCAGCGCACCTGTAACTCTCATTGTTACTCTGCTGTTCTCCTGTAAAGTCCTGTGACACAATCAGTGCTGCGGGCTTATTCTCCACAATCAGGGCAATATATGTATTATGTTTTATGTTGTCTCTACATGATGAAGCCTGCAACACGATGAAGCTCTCGTTGAATAAAGTCGTTAATGGTGCCCGGCTTGGGGTCATCAACAACTTGGGCAAGAATGGGGACAAGATCCTGGAGTTACCTGGTTGTCTTCTATACACAAAGACAGGATCTCCACCTCACCTCACACACGACACTCTGCAGACTATCGAAGGCGTTCCACCTGTAGCTCACATCACTCTTTCCAGTCTGTAAGTAATATGACGTTTCCGAACTTAAATTAATTCAAAACAATAATCTCTACAGATTAATGCTATTTTCAGCATAGTGAGATATTCTATGTTTATTGCACTTTTTATAGAAAATGCTTAAACTATTTAAAGTTAATCTGTTACCTCTCTCCCCTCCCCAAAAATTTTATTTTGAGTATTTAATAAAGAAAATATTTTTATCATAAACTCACATTAAATTTCACTGAAGTTCCAACGCAGTCAAAATATCTCATGAGACAAATTCTTTATTATTATGTATTTTCCCTCAACTTGACAAAAGGTGGAGCTACTACCATGATGTTGTGTCACTAGCTGTCGCTAATAATGGCTGGGGGGGGGTGTGGGGGTGTGGGGTGTGGTCTCACTGATTGTGAGACCCTATTTATAGTGGAAAAACGATTGTATCTTGGTGAATATAAACAGAGAAAAGGGTGGGAACGCAGATAAAAGTTAACTTTTTCTTACAATCTGATAGGACTACCTGTACAAAACGTAACATATATACTTTTGTCTAATTTCCCACAGCTTAGGGAGTGATTAAAGTTAATGCTAAATGTAGGTGGTGGATGGGAGCTTGTGGGGGGATTGGGGCAGACTCTAAATGAAATGCTTCGTTCTCTGTGGGAGCTACGTTCATGATGGCAGATACGGATAAGTCGGGAATGTGACACCTTACACATTGCCTTACTATTGTAACCGCGGCTGGTTCCCTTATTTACCACTATAACGTCTTAAAGCATAGAACTTAGCAGGGCTAACCATACAGATATCTTTAGCCATAATATATAGTTAGTAAGAGATCCTCTATTTAAAATTATATAAATAATCGAGAATACAGTATAAAATAAGGATTGTCTTGGAAGCAATAGTGTTTTGTCTTTTTAGATATTTATTAAATAAAAATATAAATATAGACATATAAAATCCATATAGCAGAGTTTATAAGATTAAACTAAATGCTTGCAAATATCATTAATAGGTTAACATACCCTCCTGAACATGTCATCATGTCAGCCTCTTTGTCATTTTAAGATGGAGCAGCGTCTGTCTCCAAGTCTCTCCTCTGTTTCTTAACATTTAAAGTACACCTATTTATACCTTAGGTGTCTTCATTTTAGGGTCACCGTAGTTCATATATGAAAAAGTAACACTTCTTTTACTTTATTCATTTTAGGACCTCCCTTAATTTGGCAAACATACAAGGCCATAACTAAAGGGTGTATACGTCATGGAAATTTTCCTGACTTAGTTCAAGATGGCATCTTAAAGTCTGGACATCCTTATCTACTTAAGGTTACCACAGTATATTGTGTACTGAAAGAGTCGTAGTATAGCCTTGAAGCTTGTTTATGCATTATTGTTATTGTAATTCGTCTGGGACAAAATGGCGCAAACATATTATGCACTGAGGTTATTGCTTAAAGAAACAGTTATGAAAAACAATATGTTCCATTTCTAACACCTTTCAGTTTGCAATATCTCTTAAAGACAAAGTACACAGTTTAAGAAATACAACATTTCATTCTAAAACTTGTAATATTTGCATTTGCCCATAACACTTCCTTAGGTGGTATTTCTCTCACATAGATCACTGACTGCACCACCATATATCTTCCCCTATTATCATGGTCAGACAGCCAGACTCATTTGCAACACACGACTTGACATATCTAAGCCGGATTGCATGAGTGTATGAATAAGTACATACAAGTCTATGACCTCTGTGACAAAAGGGCTGGTACACAAATCATTGCTACTGACTTTCCTTTTATTGCGTTGATACTGCATTAGGAGGCACTTGCTCTCACTCAATGCAAACTCGTGGTTTACATATGTGCTGCTAAGTAGTGTCATACAAACCACTTTACTGAATTGGAGGGAAGAATGGATCATATCTGTGGATAAGTTATCCATTGCTAACCCTTATATAGGCTGAGATGTCCTCATGCAAACTGACTGTTCTTAGTGTTATTAATGAAATACGTGCAATGGTCAGGTTCCTATCGCTTGTTAGATCCCAGTATGGCAGCTGGTACTTCCCAAACCAGAGTCTCTACTATCTGGCTGTAACTGGGTATAGATCAGGAAAGGGTACAGGGAAGCACCCCTTCTGGGTGTCCTCAAACTCGTATGGTGATGAGTCAGCATGGAAAATATGAAAACAGAATATAGTGTAGTATAAATTGGAGAAATGCCACTTACACATTTCTGGAGCTTATGTTCAGCTTCACATATATGCGCCTGGGCGGTATGATCCCCGCCTGTGGAAATGTCACTCCTCTTGGTTCCTTGTAGGTGGTAGATCAAGGTCAAGCATCAGAGTGTCGAGCGTTCACGGGTATTTCCCTCCAAATTGCAGTGTCACAGATATTGCTCCCTATAGCAGCAGTGGGTTTTAGAAATCGCTATAAGGCAGTCTCAGAAAACGAGTGTGAACTCGGGATGCTTTCAGCGCTATGCAGTTTGCAGTAATACAAAGTGCTTTTAATGCCAAGACTGACCTTTTAAACTCATTATGAAGGTATAGATCTAGCTAAATGTAAATTGCATTTGTGAGAAGGTAAGCGATAATTCCTGTAACTTGCTCTCTAATGCTGCTCAATGTGAAGTAAATACATTCTGGGAGAGCAGTGCGACTTTGTATATCTAGGGAAACCAACTATACATCAGAGAGGTAACACGTATCTCAATGTAATGCAAAAAAATAAGGTTTTATGGGATCATAAAGACAAAAAGAAATACGTTTCCTCCTTCTGGCCTTAATCAGAAGGCTGAAATATTGTACTTAATTTTAGTCCTTATAATCCAATAAAACCGTTTCCTCTTTACATTACATTGTGTTGCTTCTCCTCACTACAATTTGGGGATTACGAATTCCTTCCACAATCCTCCAATGTTTTAGCTTTATCTAATTTATTGCTGGTGTGCAGCTTATCTCCTTATTTGCTGTACAATCCTTCATTGGTAAAAAGAAACAAAGATTGGGTCGTTTGGCCGGTCACACGGATTATAAGATTCCTAGCGAGACATTAGTCTGACTTCACAGATCGGTAGGGTGCCGGTGTGCGTGCAAAGAAGCGGTTTAAGTTTCTCGTGTTATTAGAATCCATTTCAAATTGAAACACGTTTTTAGATCTGCAGGCTTGGCACTGAAGAGGCATTTTACACCAGCCGGTATCATCACCAATACTGTTCCCAAGGTTTGTTTATTCTTTGTGGTTTTCTATTTTCTGTTCATGGGGAAAAAGCTCAACATCTTCAGGAAACCACAATTAAAGATAATATAAATCTAAGAACGTTTTGTTCTTTGGCGGCTCCGTGTTTAGAGAATTGAGTTACGACCGATCCTGTGAAATCTAATGAGTTATTTTTATTCTCTCTGTCACAGAGCGGAGCACCAGGAGGTCTTGGAAGAATATAAAGAGGGCATTGCAAAGTTTGCAGGTGAGAAGAGGCCTGAGACCTTCATTTTCTTCTCAAGCAATGTATTATCAGTATATCTGGACATGCCAGTGTGTCTCCACAGATTTATATACTATTATTGTAGCAGTTTAGGAGAGGGAGATAGACATGGGACAAAGAGTTTCAATCGAAATCCCTGTCAGGTTTCCAGATTTCTGGTTTCACGCGGTTTAGAAACATTTCTTTCTGCTGTGACCATTCTCGTTGTTGCTAGTTCTGTAACTCTTCATTTCTGTTATTCATGATCTGTTGGAACATTTGATTGCTTTTAAATCTGTGTAACGCCAAAAATCCGTAACTCCGTAGCCGATAATAAGCTTTGTAGGACTTCATCTCCAGTTACCCTCAGCCGTCTGTGAGCTGTCGAAGGATTTATTTATTTAGCAGTCATTATATAGTGACCTTACCCAGAGCATTTTACAATTATCAGAAGAGGAGATTGATAATCATACAGACAGAGGGGTATGATACACACTTATCTCCTGGCTTCAAATTCTTACAAAGCACTATTCCTGTGCAATATGACTGTACACTATTACTGTGCAGTGTGTGCACTATTACTGTGCAGTGTGTGCACTATTACTGTGCAGTGTGCGCACTATTACAATCTAGAGCTTGATGTAAATGTAGTGCCAGAGATCTGTATAGTGAGTACATGTCAATCTGTGCCTTACACTGTGCCGTTACAATGCTCTGTGGTTGGAAGGTTTCGGTGTGCACACAATAAGCAGTTTTCGCACAGGAGGTGAGGATGTTTTGATTTTTTTTGGCAGGTATGCCCGACACTGTGCTGTATTGCTCAGTTAACGACCCTGTGACCCCAAATCCTGCAGGGTACAACACTAACAAGGTAAGTGATTGGACACACAGATACAGCTTCTAAATGGTTTCTGTTCAGTGTGAGGGTTAAAGGGAAGGTTTAGATCAGGGGTGCCCAAAAGGTAGATCCCCAGATGTTTTAAAACCACAGCTTCCATGACGCTTTGCCATTCTAACTGCATTTCAAAGGCATGCAAAGCATTATGGGAGTTGTTGTTTTACAACATCCGGGGATCTACCTTTTGGGCTCCCCTGGCTTATATGATAAAACACATATTTTATAATATTAAATATTAGGGATCGACTGATATTGATTTTTTTTTTTTTTTTAGAGCCGATACTGATAATCTGTGAACTTTCAGGCCGATAGCTGATAACTTAACGATATTCTGTACATTTACCATTTTGAAAAAATAAACAATTTCTAAAGGTAAATGCACAAAATATACATGCCACATGTAGTGGATGCAGTGTGTTTAGACAGGGGAACTGTGTGTGTTTGTGTAGTGTGTATATAATGAATGCAGAGTGTGTTTGTGTAGTGTGTATAGTGGATGGAGTATGTTTGTGTAGTGTGTGTGTGTATAGTGGATGCAGTGTGTTTGTGTAGTGTGTGTGTGTGTATAGTGGATGCAGTGTGTTTGTGTAGTGAGTGTATAGTGAATGCAGTGTGTGTATATTGAATGCAGTGTGTTTGTTTAGTGTGTGTGTTTGTGTTTCTGTAGGTATCTAATTTGTATAAAATGGGGGGAGGAGGGGAGGCATTTTTTATTTTAACATTTTTTAAATATTTCAATTTTTTTGTGTCCCCCCTCCCTGCTTCTTACTTGGCCAGGGAGGGAGGATATGGCATTCCCTGGTGGTCCGGTGGCATGTACTGAGCAGTGGGAGGCCCGCAGCAAGCTCTTACTTACCTTCCCTTCAGCTCCCAGTGTAAATCTCGCGGCCTGTGTGTCGCGCGGAGCGTTGCCATGGTAACGCGTGGCATCGCTCTGATGGCCGTGGGACTCGGGTAGCTGAACGGAGCTGCTGGGAAGGTAAGTAAGAGCTTGCTTGGCCCCCAGGATCGCCAAGTATCGATAAAGTATCGATAGCTTTATTGGCCGATGCCGATATTGCTGAAAATACCGAATATCGGACGATAATCGGTCGATCCCTAGTAACTATATGCATTTACTCGTTTTAATATTTGCCTAAATTCTACCTTTTTGTCAAATTTCAAATGTATCGGATTCCTTTCTGCATTGTAATTCTTCCCCCTTAGCCTCTGCTCCTCATTTCTGAAAATGTTTTGGTGATTGGTGTGTTTGTCTCAGACCTTACTTTTCCTTACAGCCAGTAAGTCTCCTCCTCCACTAGTCTTCTCCTTTTATCTGTGTAGTATTTCAAAGCTGTGCCAACGGGATAGGGACGCATAAAAAGAGTGCAGTGATTGGCCGTGCGTCAGTGTCTTGTCAGCAGCTCGGCTCATACTGATCTCTCATTGGTTAAGCTGAGTTTATACTCAGTGGAGTACGTCTTATAAGGAAGTTGCTTTGTGACAAGAGGAGGTGCAGCTAGCGAGGCAGGTCATGCTGCAGAGAGCGAAATTAAGAGTTTTGAATGTGGGAAATTTTTTTTTTTTTTTTTTTTTTAATGAATGAGCAGTAAAAACCTATCGATTGCAAATACATATTCAGTTGTGTTGGTGCCTGGAGTGTGTTTTTTGAATCTTTTTTTCTATTTAATTCTTCCTTATACTAGTTGCTGTGAATCTCTTCTTTTATATTTCTTATCAGAATTTAATATATATCAAAAAGGCATTTTTACATGAATTTCCAGATGTACGTACAGCGGCCCGCTTCAATCTCTGCGGTCTATAACTGTGATCTAGTTTGTGCAACCTGCATATTGTGCCATTATGTCTCAGAGATCTGGTTTTACTTGGGATCTTTTCAGTCCTAGATGCTTTTCCCTTTACCCCCAGACCGTGTCCGTGTGGGGAGGAGGTGGACGCCTGGAACTGACATCCCAAAAGTTCATGGCTGCTCAGCGCGCACTGCGTGCAGACTGGTTCCAGTGTCTGTCTGATGGCGAAGTGATGACCGCCGACAACTCCAAGAAAAGGGCGAAGAAATCTGTGGATCGCTCACTTGTATTCTTGGATGAGTGTCTTCAACTGCTCGCTCAGAGTGAGGTAAGTACCCACTCAGTGGGGATACCTCTCTCTAGGTGGCTACTAAGAATGAGAGTATGCACTCACAGAGGGCACAGGGTTCTATCGACGAGCGACAGTGGGGAAATACTCTGCTGTATATGTTTTAATGTAGTTGGTGTTTTTATTTATCATTTTGTGCTAATGTTGAGGACTTCCTTGCAGGTTGGTTAAACCGACTTGGAGTTCCATACTGACTTCCTGCTTATTCCAGGTGCTAAAGCAAAGTGTGGTGATCGGCGCCATAGAAGGAGGTGACGTGCTGGAAGAAAGGCTGAGGTCAGCCCGGGAAACTGCCAAGAGGCCCGTTGGAGGTTTCTTGTTAGACGGCTTCCAGGGGAGTGCGATGAGCAGGGAGACTAAGCTGAGCCTTATTTCGTCCATCACTGCAGCGTTACCCGAGGACAAGCCCAGGTCTCTCCCTTTGGGATTATCCTGCTGTATATTACCTGCTATCTGCTCCACTGCAGGGATCTCAAACTCTGACCCCGCATGTGTTGATAGCCTACAACTCCCAGAATTCTTTAACCCCTTAAGGACCAAACTTCTGGAATAAAAGGGAATCATGACATGTCACACATGTCATGTGTCCTTAAGGGGTTAAGGCAGTGCATAAGCATCATGGGAGTTGTTGGAGATGTTTGCTCTACAGCCTCCACCCAGTTAGATTCCTCCATTCTTTCCACAATGCAGCATTTAACACTCGGCTGTATTATTATTTTTCTCTCCTTTTTATTTTTTATTATAAATCTGCTAGTTATATACTGGGTTATAAAAGGAATAGGCCCAATCCAGCCTAGGGTATCCCTTAAAGGGAAATGCAGAGTTTAAGGTATAAAGTCCTGGTGAGGTTGTTTATTAAATACTCTATTTACGTTAACCATCTATATTACCAGTACTCCCAAACTGGAAGACCCGTGTGAGACTGTCAGAATGTTACTGTATAAAGTGTAACCATGCACTCAGATCTATAGAATGTTAACCCTTGCTGCCAGTAATTAGCCTCCATTTAACTCTCTGCGCAGGTTCATGCATGGTGTTGGCCGGCCGGACGAGCTGCTGGATTGCATTGAGAGAGGGGTGGACTTGTTTGACTGCAGTTTCCCTTATGAAGTGACTGAGCGCGGCTGTGCCTTGTCTTTCAAGCACTGCTACAACCCGGACCCTGAGACTGCAGGTGGCGTTCAAAGGACAGATTCAGATTATACCGCAGGGGCCGATGGTATTTGTATGAGCATTTTATGAGGTTTCTAGGATTAAATATCTGTCTTCTTACGCTGCCCAGCAGGATAAGGAAAACCTATTGATACATAGTGTGATAGGAGGTATTTCTATATGTGAATGTAAAGAATTAATGAGTGTACGATCACAGTGCTCAATTGATCACATCTGCATATATCTGTACCTTGCATAAATTGCAGAGTCGCTTATTCTACAGATCAGTGATGGCAAATGGGTTGCTCTCCAGCTTTCATTAAACTTCAGATTGTAATTAATTAAGATCCGAAATTCGGCAGAAATTTGGCAAGCAGTGACTGAAGGACCAGATCACTCAGATATTGCCTACAATTTGCTGTTTTGCTGTTTTTAGAATGATTGCTGGAACTTGCAGTTTCACTGTAGTTGGAGAACCATCTCCTAATTACTGCAAATCTACTCCTTATTCTTTAATCTACACAGAAAGAACACAGTGCTTCGATTCTGACTGCCCCCTGGTATTTTTAGTTGTTCCTCTGGTGGCATTTGTTAGTTTGGGGTCTGATATGTGTTTGCCTCATTTGACTATTACTGCGGGTTTGGTTTTTGTTTTTTTGCCATAGCGCGTTCTGTTTTAACTTCTCCTTTTCACCTTACTCCATCTCACATTTACATGATATGTGTAAGTAACATTTTTGCAATTCATTTTTTACAGTTTTGGACGAGAGTGAAACCCGTGAGGAGGAGAGTAACGGGAATGTTGTAACAGAGGATCCAGAGATCGATCGGTCTGGAATGACGTCATTTGAAATTTGTTTAAAGGAGAAAAGGTATCTTGTGTTTCTGTAAAAGCATGGATGTTCTCTCCAAATAAGTGCATCCTCTGTCTTCTGCTTTCAAAATTTGCATTGAGCCAAGAGTCGAACTGTAGCCAAATGCTGTTCTTTTAGCAAAATTTGGCCATTCGCAAACAGCAGACTTGATTATTTGAACTGAATTTCCACTACTGTTTTGCTACCATTTGGTTACCTGCAGAATCTCTGTATAGGTTAAATCAACTATTAATGTACACCAAGACAATTACTCCCATATATCAAAGCGTGCCCTACCCCTGAGGAACTCTAATTCTGCTCATAATCCCCCCCTTTAAACTTTAATCCCCTCAAAACCAACTCCCCTTAGAGACATCTTCCGTTGATGGTGAATTCAATGGACTTCAGAGGATTTTTATAATCGAAACTGAAGATAACTGACCTGGATGAAAGTTAATAGGCTCTTGAGACATTTTGTACAGAGTTTATAATGAACAGTTTGTATCTGTATAATATTGTTTTTGTATCTACATATTACAGTTCCAGTTCTGCTATTGAACACTTCACTAATATGCAAACAATGCTTATATTGAAACAAACAGTTTGGGTTGGTTGGACCTGCCCTCTCACAGAGCAGATTCTGCAGCTTTTGCTATTCAGTAAGATTCAAAAACTTTGTGTTTAATTACGGGAATTGCTCCCAAATGAGGAAAAGTGAATTTTATGTTAAACGTGAGTGTATCATAAGGACTATGATTCTAAAAGTGCATTGCTGTTTATTGACGATAACCATTTACGATCATTTAAGTTATTCCAAATTTGCTATAAAACAGGTTCTTACCCTGTGATGTTAGTACCCTCCGGCAAACAACATGGCTGTATAAATTAGCCAGCCCTTTTAAATCATGATCATTGATTTTTGCCCTGCTAAGCTACCTCTCTGGGAAAGGAGTTTCAGTGGTGTGTGATTGTGTTTTTTTTGAGTGGGGTAAAAAAAACAAATCCTTTCTGCTCAAGTTATTGAATCTATTACTCTTATAACCCTGGATATTTTTTGTCCTTTAACCAGGTTCCGTGAAGACTTCAAGCCATTGCTGCAGGGCTGTACGTGTTACTGTTGCAGAAACCACACCAGGGCATACGTGCACCACCTTCTAATGTCCAAAGAGTTACTAGCCGGGATCCTTCTCATGATCCACAACTTTCAGCTGTACTTTAGCTTCTTCCGGTCTGTGCGAGATGCACTGAGAGACGGTAAACTGAGTGTCCTGAGTGAGATCATCCAGAGACAAGCTTCCTGGTCGAGATTTTCCAGAGATAAGCTTTTTGAGGACGATATTCCAGAGACAAGCTAGGAAGGATCGAGATTGTCCAGGGACATTTAGGATATTTAAACAATAATTCTTGTGTCTGTGTATCAGCAGAACGTTTCCTTTCAATTTGTACAGACTGTTTTTTACACTCCATCTTATTGCATCATCCCCTTTCTTTCATAGAACATCTAATCGGTGTTATCCTTTAATTTGCCATTAAATGCAACCATTGATAAATTCATCTTCTCGGCTTTTACACTCAATGTATCCCTGATTATTGTATGTCACTACTTACACTCAGTGATTGACATATATCATGGCGTGTAGCTATGGTGACGGAATGGTGAGTTGGTGCAGGTTTCATTCACTAAGTTGACGATCCCTGTTGCTGTTGGAGAATGAAGAGAGGTTCTAATGCTTGGTCGACCATCTCTGCATATTACAACCGCGACACATCCTGCTCTTTTCACCTATAGAAAGTCTAGATAACCAAGTATTCCTGAGGGTTAAAGACCTCTGAGAATGCAATCACATAATCGTGGTTATTATAAATTGTAGGGAGTTCAAAATATATTCAAAGACAATAATATAAGATAATTCACTATATTTTCATTCTGGCTATTGTGTCAAATAAACTTTACTTTGAACTTTCAATCATTTTGTTTTATTGAATAACCCTGGGTGAAAATGCGCAGTATAGACTTGGCTGAATTGGTAAAACCGCTTAGCCAGGGATTTTTTTCCAGTTGATCTACATTGTACCGTCTACTTCTTTTGTTGAATCTAATTTTAGTAATTAAACTCCATAGTGATTATATTTTTAGAGAATTCCACAGTCCCAAACCCAAGTTTTGCCTAAATTCACCTCTGCCTCACTCGTCGCCTGGAATGTGAGATTGTTTTCAATACCCGAGATGGTCCTCATTTTAGAAATATAAACTTTTTGAGGGGCCTGCTTTGTATATTTTGAAGATGTACTTGGCTTAGAAGGCCAAAAAAAAATTCAGGCATAAAATCAGTTGTGTCGTACTGAGCTCTGTCTATGAAACACGACATATTTTGCACCTTTTGACTTGGAAATAAATTTTAAAAAATATATCTAAATATATATATATATAATGTAAGCGGGTTATCGCACTTTGATTCTCGGACGCACATTGGGTTTAGGATTAACGCGTTTAGTCGGTACACATTTCGTGGAGTTTGTGTCTGAAATCAAACTATTTGGATAAAAGCGAGAATTCCCAGAATTGCTGCGATACTATTAGCGTTTTAATGTGTTCAGTCCGCTGTGGTTAGAATACGCTTGCTGGCAGCACAGAATTATTTCACGCTGAACTTTGTCTTCTGGACTCGAGACCTCCTTTATGAAATCTACAATTCGAAGTCCAGCTTTCCACATATTGTGAGCTGAACACATTTACAATCCAATCTTTGGTGTAACTGGAATTATTCCTAAAGAGAAGGCAGTGTTTGCTGTGCTAAAAAAAACAATACATACAAGGCAGCAGTGTTAATTTTGGCGGCAAATTTCAATTTAGTTTTAGTCGTATTTTAGTCCTCTAAATTGTTTGGTTTTATTCAACTACATCTCCAGTAGATTTTAGTCGACAGGACTAAAATCAAATGGGTTTAGTTAAAGCCTCTATCTGTGTCTGTTTTGCCCCTTTGTACCTCTAGGTGTCTCTCCCAAACCCTGCTCTCTCTCTTTTTGCCTCTTCTCTAGCCTCTTTGTGTCCCACCAGACCCTCTGGGTGTCTCCCCCCCCCCAAGCCTCTTTCTGTCTCTTTTGCCCTTTTCCCTGTCAGTCTCTTTTTTCCTTTCCTCAGCCCCTCTCTGTGTCTTTTTCTCTCCACAGCCCCATTTGTGTTTCTTTTCCCCTCAGCACCTTTTTTCTTTCTCCTCAGCCCCTTTGTGTCGCTTTGTGTCCCCACCAGCTTCTCCATGCATTTCATTCCACCCACGTGTCTCATTCCCCCAGCCCCAATGTGTCTCAATTCCTCTCCCCAGCCCATCTACGTGCCTAATTCCCCCAGCCTCCTAATATCTTGTTCCCCCAGCCCCCATGTGTCTCGTTCCCCCATACCCCCCATGTGTCTCGTTCCCCCATACCCCCCATGTGTCTCGTTCCCCCAGCCCCCCATGTGTCTTGTTCCCCCATGTGTCTCGGCAACTTTAAATTTAGTTTTAGTTGATAAATATTGATTCAGATCATCATGATTTCTGAAGAATATCCAAAATACACTTTACATTGCAAATATAGAAATTGGTGATTCAATACCATATATTGAGAACATAATGCATGATAAATGGCTTTGAAACTATCGACTGCAAGCAGATGTTTATAAAAAAAATGAATTACTATTTGCTTACTGGCAACACTACAGTGTGAATTCACACCTTATCAAAATTGGGGGAAAAACAATATCCATATCCATTCTGCGGCTTTGGCTATTTTAGTCTAAAATCAGAATTTACAACAATGCACACCTTGTGAATGACACTGTGCGAGACAGGATGACTACTTCTCTGATGTGTGAAATGCTGGGATTTTAATACATGTATTCCTGACTCTCTAGTGGTAAAACCACCATCTAGCCCCCCTGACCCCACCTTGCTCCCCTAAATATAGTAAAATCTTACCTTTAATCGAGTGTGCTGCTGCTGGCTCTGACCCTGATCTGCCTGCTTGGCTGACATCATCAGAAGTGGTGATCTGAGCCAATCACAATGCTTCTCCATAGGATTGGACTGTCAAGGAAGCAGATCAGGGGCAGAGCCAGCACAAGCCAAACACAGCCCTGGCCAATCAGCATCTCCTCATAGAGATGAATTGAATCAATGAATCTCTATGAGGAAAGTTCAGTGTCTGCATGCAGAGGGAGGAGATACTGAATGTTTGGATGCATTTTAGGCAGCCATGACCCAGGAAGGATCTCTAACAGCCATCTGAGGAGTGGCCAGTGAAGTTATCACTAGGCTGTAATGTAAACACTGCATTTTCTCTGAAAAGACAGTGTTTACAGCAAAAAGCCTGAAGGTAATGATTCTACTCACCAGAACAAATTCAATAAGCTGTAGTTGTTCTGGTGACTATAGTGTGAGCATTTTAAAGTGAACTTGAAGTTTTACATCAAAATAGCCAAAACTGGGGACAATTCTCAATGTCTGCAATATCTTGGCATAATCTATGAATTTTGATTGATTTTCCAACAATCCACACTTTAGTGAGTGACCGTGAGAATCTTCCTAAAGGGTAACTGTGAATTCTGCAATGGAAGATACCTTCGAACGCATGCACCTCAATTAATCTCTATTTAATGTTTTGTTTGCTTTGCTGGATGTCATTTTTCTAGTTTCGTGATGTGCTGTTATGTATTTCAGTGATACAGAGTATCTTTTGTTTGTAAAAGGAGAGGCCGGTACAAGTTCTATTCTCTCCCGTTTACTACCCTCGTGTGCTAGTATCTCCGTCCAGTCTGTTTTCTCATTCTTTCTTATCTTTCTAGTTTCTCTCTGTGACAATCTCTCTCTAACTGTTTTTCTCCAATTCTTTCTTTTCCAGTGTCTGTAGCCATCTCATGCTGCGGGTGCAATTGTTTCTCTGCTAGTATCTCATTCCATCTTATCCAGCATTTCCCACTGTCTCTCTGCCACTTTGCATGATTTAGAGATTGTGTGTGTGTGTGGGGTTCTGTGTGTGTGTGTGTGTGTGTGTGGGAGTTCTGTGCATGCGTGTGTGTGGGTTCTGCATGTGTGTGTATGATGAAAGTTGTGGTTTGGATGCTGCTGTTTGTAGTGTTGTGTGTATGGGGAAGCTGTGTGTGTCATCTGTGGGGTGGCTGTACGTGTTGTATGCAGTATTCTGTGTAAAAGGCAGCAGACAAGAGATCGGCAGTTTATGCAAGCTGTTTTTAGATATAGTCCCAAAAAACTGTATAACTAAATGCATGCGAGTTTTCATTTAAGTAGGGGGGATTTTATTTATTTTGTATTTGGGCAGTAGAGTGTCCCTTTAAAATCCTGTCATCCTCTACTGAGAATGACCGGTCGAAGATGTCCTACTAAAAGATACAGGCAGGTTGCCCATCTTGCAATACCCCAAGACCATTGTATGAAAATTGCTCTGTCCCTGTTTCTAAATATTCACATCAAGCTCTTCTAAGGATAATATCACTAACTGAATTGATGTTCCAGTCCCGCCTGCTCTGATCGCCCAGGGAGCCCCCATGGCCCCGCTGTCTCCTTTACGGGCACAACAAATTGTGCTTTATGCGTTGTCTGTGCCCAAGTGGTGCCCAGGTTCTCCAGATCTCCTCATGCTTCTCCAGTCTTCCCTTAGTTGCGGGACCCCCCCTCCTCCAGTTGCCAGATCTTGGAATGTGTCCCTTTGTTTCCTAAACTTGAACTCGGACAATGTTCTGTTCGTTCTGAAACAGATTTTTTTTTTTTTTTTAATATAATCACTGAAACTGAAATTAAAATATAAAATAGGATGTTTTCCATACAGGGAACTAAACTGTAAAAAAAACATTTACTGAAACTAAAACAAAGCAGAAATTTGAAATTTGAAATTTTAGTAATAAAATAAAACCAAACTTCAAGATGTTAAACTATAACAACCCCCTGCTCAGACCTCCAGGCCACCTATGTTAAATCCTGCTTTTTTTATAAATTCATTTTTCTGATTGCCCCCTGCAGAGGATAAAACAAGTAAACCAGATGCATAGGTTATTCAACCACGGGAGAATTGAAAGTGAATTTGAAATTCAAGGTAAAAACAGCAACAGATTCTGTAAGTCTGCTGTGCTAGTTTGACAACTTTGGCCGTTAATTTTAAAATGCTCACTTTAGTCATTAATTCTGGCGAGCTGGTTATATTTATTTGGAGATATTCTGACAGTTAATAACGGACATTGTTATTCACTAACGTGAGAATTCGGAGAGAATTCACAATGAATTTCAAATTCAAGGTGAATATAATGAACTGATCCTAGTTTTTGCAGTTTGGTTTTTAATTCGCTACGATCCATGTATCTCCT